AAGCTGGCAGAGGGTAGGTTTAGCCTAGATATCAGGAGGCGCTACTTCACGGTCAGGGTGGCTAGGGTCTGGAACCAACTTCCAAGAGACGTGGTGCAGGCTCCTACCCTGGGGGTTTTTTAAGAGGAGGTTAGATGAACACCTTGCCGGGGTCGTTTGACCCCAGTACTTTTTCCTGCCATGGCAGGGGGTCAGACTAGATGATCTGCTCAGGTCCCTTCTGACCCTAGAAACTATGAAACTCTCTTTCCAATGCCACATAAGTTCAGTGTGCTTTGTTTTAACTACAAGATAGAAACTACGACTCTCTGGTCCACCAGCTGTGAGCAGTCCCAAAGATGATAAGTACTCTGGATAGGCAAGGAGAAGGTATTCTTATAATGCTTACTGTGATGTCACTCATTAAAGGAGAAACTTCTTAAGAATAAATTTAATAAACCAAATGCCTACAAACCAGCCAACTAATTGTTCTTCTGAAAACCCCAAGTTTATAAAAGAGCTCAAACAGTTCTTATGTTTGTTCCAAACAAGGTTCTGCATAAAATTGAAGAATGCTGGTCCCAGCCTCCTTTGCATAAATAGCGCACCTTGTGGCCTATGGTGCTTTGCTGGAATGACAACAGAGGACCCAATTTTCAAGGCTTTTCCAGCACGTACAGATGCAGACCAGTGCCCTCAGGCCCCCACATACTTGGTGCCTATGGCAGACACCCAACCACAGTGGCAGTATCTGAACACAGAAGTGATCTGTAGCTGCAGGGCTCTTGCAACAAGACAGAGGCGAGGGGATCCGAGCAAAGGTTTGCACTGACAGGAACATGCTGGGGAAGTGCTCCTCTGCTTCTAGCTGCTGGAGACACAGCTTTGTAGCACCCAGAAGAAAGGATGAATTCACTCAAAGAAGCCAGTGGGGTCCAGGGAATAAAGGGATCGATACCCTGATCCAGGATGCTATTGACTGCAGTGGGATGTGGGTCAGGCCCTCTGAGCCCAGAAAGCAGAGAAAAAATAAGAAGCTGATGAAAGCCTCCAAAGGGGAAACAGTTGAGTTCCTTGTTGCCTTACGCTGGATGAAGGAGAGGTGCACAGTTTCTCCTCCTCAGAGGAGAGCTAGTGCAAGGAGGAACTGTCTGCAGGCTTGTGAGCCTTTGGGCACTCAAGAAGGGCCAGGGAAGTAAAGTGATATGCCAAAGGTCACAGTGCAAGGCAGTGGCAGAGCCCAGGGCTGGAGACCTAACCACCAGGCACCCCCATGTTCACTGACAACCGTTCCTGCCACTTACGTGTCCACAGCTAAGAGTCACATATATGGGGCAAGCAGCTGGCCCACAGGTCTCATTGATAAAGGCATGGCCTACACCATGTTAAGTATGCAAGATACTATATGCGGACTCTACAGTTCTCCTCCATTTCTCCACTAATATCATCTATGACATGGGTGTCAGAACCACGGTTAATACCAAACATCATTTTACCATCTATCTCAGTTAGCGGGCACAGAGCTGTTAGCTCATGGAGCCTGCTAAAAGCAGTGTAAAACACACTTCTGTGTATAGCTTTGTGATGGGCCTTATGGTATTGCCTACCCTACTACTTGAAACTGCATTGGAAACCATTACTGATCACAGACATGCCCAGTCACACATGTAAAGCTGTCATTAAAATTCAGTGGCATTCACTGCAACGCAGATCAGCCTGTGTTCATATAGAAAGGAAAAAGCAAATGACTTACAGAACCGAAGCATCATCTCCATAATACAATCCTGTTGTGACATATCCTTTTAGGATGGCTCCTGCTTCGATAAATGCTTCTCTGGCTGTAAAAAAAAATCCATAAATAAGTAAAGAGAAGAGCTGGGGTTTTTTTTCCCCCCTCTGCAAATCATGAAGCCTGTTCATGGCCTGTTCATTTATAAGGTGTGCAGGACAGGCTGGGTCTGGTTCTCACCTTGTAGCTGTGTGCCAGGGCTGGAAGCAGCAATTTTGGGGAGTCACTGGCTCCCTGCAACCCTGATGGACTGGGCTCACTGGCGCAAGAGACCCCTCCCAGGCCCATGTCCTTTGTTCTCCAGCCATGGGCAGAGGAGAGCAGCCAGGGCTCCAGCATCTGTCCCCCTGGGTGGGAGCTCATAGTGAGGAGGATTCTCAGCCTGCTCCAGCCTCTCCCAAACAAGGGATCACTGGGGACCAGTGGGGTCATAGCAACTACAAGCCCCACAAAGCCCCCAAGCCAGCAATTACTCAGCGTGCCCCAATTAACCCCACTCAGCTCCACAGTACACATCCTCTTGCCTGCTCTCACCTACAGGAAGTGCAAGACGAACAGGGGTAATTTAGGCCTGTTTCAGTAAGCTCTAAATGCCCCTGGGTTAGCTCTCCCTCGGGGCGTAAAAGTAGGCATGGGGCAGTTACCAAAAACCAGCTGAGGGGTAAAACCCTACCAGGGCAGGCACATGAGGTGCAGCATCTGTGTGGATGGAGTCACACAAGATGATCACGACCAGGCAGCATTTGGGATCTGCGGCCCTGTGCACTCTCCCTCTAGACTTCAGTGCTCCCAGGCAACCTGACCCTGAGCCCAGTGATCCCAGGGGACCCTTCGGACTGGGGTCAGCTGTTGTTTGAAGGGGTCATCCTGTGCTTCCATGACATGCCCGGTGACAGCCCCTAACCAAGAGCTTTGCAAACTGCACAGCAGGTCTCTGGGAGCTTCTTGAGGCCATGTGGACACCAGCACACACAAGAGCACCTCACCCGCAGCTTTCCTTTTTAAGCCTCTGATAAGCAGCCACTATGGGACACAGAGGAAAGTCCAGCTGCTTCACATTCTCCTTGGAGGCGGTCATGTCCCCACTCAGCATTATTCCAGTCCAGAGATGTCAGTGAGGTCTTGCAGAGCATGCCTTGTGTCTGGTCGCTTGAATGGCTGCCCAGTGCTGAGGGCCATCCCAGGTCAGACCGGTTGGACATCCTGTTGCTCTAATTTGCCAGACGGAAAAGCCAGTTACGTGGCACGCTGCCCTGGCACTGGGGTAAAGTGCACAAACCCAACAGGAGAGGAGCTGCTGTGAAGTCCAGCGGTGAGAGTCACTCAGTGTTGGCCACTGTATGATGGGACGGGGTGAGAGATACGAGGGCTTGTCCTGCTCCAGCTGTGACTTCTCACTGTGACATTGGGAAGCTCCATCCTTAGCAGTTGTTAAGACATGGGTAAACAAAGCCTTGGCAGGGATGATCTAGTTAGGGTTGGTCCTGCTGTGATTGGGGGGGGTTGCACTAGATGTGACCTCCTGAGGTCCCCTCACCCCTCATTTTCTGTGATCCTATGCTGGGTCCTGCCCCAGTTTGTGACGAAGAGGATGGTTCCAACCAGCTTCACAGAAGCAGGTTGGGGTCTCCTGATGAAAATCATGAGGGAATTATCCAATGCCCAACAACATCAGGAGATGGCTTCCCATCAGCTTTGGAGTGGGCCATACAGACTTATAAAATGTTAGAAAAAACAGGTTATAAATGGCCCTCAGGAGGTCACACCTACTCCGACCCTCTGCTCAAGGCAGCATTATCTTTGTTGAAGTGATTCTAGACAAGTGTTTGCCCAAACTGCTCTTAAAAACTTCCAGTGATGGAGACACCATGACCTCTCTGGATAGTCTCTTCCAGTGGTGAACCATCCTCAAATTGAAAAAGTTCTTCCTCAGCGCCAACCTGCATTGTCCTTGTTGCAGTTTAAGGCTGTTACTTCTTGTCCCGTTTCATGCAGACACACTATCACATCCTCTTTATGGCCACCCTTCGTGTATTGGAAAACTATGATCAAAATTCCCTGCCATTCTCCTCTTCTCCTGACTCCATTATCCCAGGTCTTCCAGACTTTTCTTGTTTCCCCAACTTCTAATAAGACGTGCTAAGTCTAATTATGTCTCACCCAACTTTTGGTGCACTGTGATTGCCAAATAATCCTCTAAAATTCCCCTTTGCTTCCTTCCCATTGTGCTCCATGCAAGAGTTGACCTCCTTTTGCAATGGGAATGGCTCGTTTGGGTTTAACAAATGCTAGTGGGAAACCGTCACCTGGAAAATATCAGCCTGGAGAAGGAAGTAGCACCATCTGCCTCTCAGCAGACAGAGGCCCTTCGAAGATGAAGGGGAGCATTTCCTCCTCTGCTGCTGAAGGAAGTGAGGAGTTGTGCCAGTTCCCAAGCTGAGTGATGGTGAGGGAAAGTGGTGTTGGATGAGCAGCTGCTGCTCATCTTGGCGTTGCCTGGGCCATGGAAAGCCAGGCTATTTCTTGAGAAATCACTGCAGGGAGCTGTGCCAGGCATTTTTCCCTTTCTGATTTGATTTTCCTTTCATGTTACTTCCTCTCTCTCTTTAAAATATGTGATTTTCTGCATACAAGAACTCTGTGAACCAGCATCTCTTCCTGTTCTGCTGACAGACAGACAGAGAGGAAAGAATCCAGCTGGGTCCGCATGCGAGGCTCTGGAAGAAGTGGATGCAGCTTGTGGCATCAAAGCCATCCTTCCCTCAGACCCTCTAGCAGCTCCTCTGCAGAGATCAGGGTAGCTGGGCAGGGAAGATGGGGGATGTGCTGGAGTGTTAGAAGCCAGGCAAGGAAACAAGGGTAGAGTTCAACCTGCAGAAGTGTCCATGCAGAGCACTGTAGCCCATTAGTCACAGGCAAGGGGTCCTTTCCTTGAGGAGAAAGCCAGCGGTACACCCCCAGAACACTTATTCAGGTTGGCATTTTCAGATGTCATGTGCACATCAGATGAGGATGGCTCAAATGGCTAGTAAGATGCCTAATTACCCAGAGCATCCAACTCAACTGCCTGTGTAGTCACAGCAATCATGTGCATCCACCCCTCTCCTTTCACCAACGAGATCTCAGTAGATACAACCATTGATGCCAGAGATGAGAGCAAGCAGTGCATTTTTTCAGCTGGTCTCTCATCCAAGCACAGACCAGGTCCAAACCTGCTTAACCAGTAAACCAAGCCAAGACTTTGGTTTACTGACCAAAGTCTTGTGGTCAGGTGGTTTTTACTGACCACAAGACTTTTCAGGAGTTGACCTTCCATCTTGTTAGCCAGGGGTTTATAACATCCAAGTGCCTTTCATGTGAAGCCAGCAGCAATAATGAGGTCCTGGGTGGATTACATGAGGTTTCTCTTTCCAACGTCAAATCTTCCTTTTGTTACCAATTTGCTTTTTCTTAAAGGTTTTCTTTGGTTGCCTTTTTCAGGGGCTGGGGGTTTTCTGTCTGGAAACAGGTCTCAGTCTCATAAGCTTCAGCCTCATGGAGAAAGACCACTCAAAAGAGGAAGATCACCTAGGATTTCTTTAGGAAACGCTGCATTTCCTGACCTGTAAGCAGGTCACTCTCCCAGCTTCCCTCTCAAGGCCAGTCAGCTCTGGGTTTTCCAGCTAGTTATTTGCATAGGGCAAACTTGTCCAACAGAAGCCAAACAAAAGGTAGAACAAGCAAGTGTGCAAACAATGAATCAACAGACACAAACCAAAACCACAGCTTTTTCTCTCTGCCCCTGGAGCGTTCAGCCCTCTTTGGGGCTCAACCTTCATTCATTAATGATCTGCTGCAGCTGGCTCCCAGCCTTCTGGCCAGGCAGCCTATGACCCACTGCCTACCTGCAGCTGGGATTTCAGTCCCCTGAAAGTCGCATCTCCTTACACGGCTGTCAAGCCCCAGCTGGGGCATGGTCCCTGTACTGCCCTTTTCACTCATCACCCTGACAAGCCTGCGTTTCCCTCTCCCTCGCACCCCAGCAGGGATGCCTGGCTCAGCACAGCTTTTGACCAAGAGGTTGGTCACGGGACCCTGATGGCGTGAGGAACAGAGGGGCAGATCTAAAAATGGACTTAGGGAGTGAATAAGGTCCCTGAGACCAAAGCTATCACCCAGGAAACCCCCACTCAGCTGCTGGAGGCACCTAAATCCCAGAAGCACCATGGATTGTGACTGTGCACCTGGGAGCCGTCTCCGTGCGGTGTGGAAGCACTTAATGTGTCATGCACCCGTGTGCCCGAGAGGGACTCAGGACCGAGGTGTTTCTCTGCCTCCCCTGGGAGAGCCTGAGGCTGACGAGTGCTCCCAGACCCAGCACAGGGCCTGTGGAAGGGACCTGCTGGTGAGCAAGGAGATGAGGTCTTGACTGGAACTGGAGTTGTACTAATGTGAATGTACATGGGACTGGAGGGGCCCCGCAGACACCACATCCAGTCTCCCCGTCTCCAGACCGATGCCAGGATTCACCCAAATCATCACATCAGGCCTTCATATGCAACTGCAAGCCACAAAGTCTGAGAACAGCAGCACACTCAGCAGCCCCCAACAAAGACCCTGAACCACAGGAAACAGGGCTTAAAGGAAAGAGCCCTCTCTGTTTCACTGACAACACCCCCAGTGTGACGGTAGCGTTGCTCCTTCCTCTCCTCACCGAGTGGTGCCCTGCCAGAAGTGCTGCTGTCCATCTGTGCCCACATCTCCTGCCTTTGCAGGCAGCCTGCCTCCCTTGTGGGGGCTGTAATTAAGCCACAGGGGCTGTTTTGAGAGAGGGATCTGTTAGGCACGGAGCATACGATTGATTAGGGGTGGAATTCCCAAGTGATCTGTTCTCTACAGAGTCCACGGAGGGAAAAATTCACTTGGAAACCTCCCAAGCAAAGAGGTGACGTAGCAGGGCCCTGATGCTGCAGACAGAGCCAAGCACATGGACCTCTGTGCTAAAGCGGAGCCTCACAGAAAATAGGGCTGCTTTGCGTGGGCCCAAAAGCAGGAGTGGGCTCTGGAGATCTGGAGCAGAAACCTGTGCTGAAGACAAGCACAGAGAACCAGGCCAGAGACGCAGCATGCCCCAGTGGCTGAAGCACTCAGGAGAGCCAAAGTCTAGTCTCAACTCTGCTACTGACTTGCTGCGGGACCTCAGGCAAGTCTCTTCATCTCAGTCCTGTCTATTCAGACTCTGATCTCTTCAAAGCAGAGGTCATCTCTTGCTTGATGTTTGTGCAGCTACAGGGGCCTGATCTCTACCAGGGCCGCTAGATACCTCAGTATCAGTACATGACTGTGGTTAAGCCACCTAAGAAAAGAGGAACTACTGATACAGTTTCAAGCAGCAGAAATCCTCCCTCTGTCTTTGGCTATGGCTAAGGAGAGGAGAGCTCAACCCCTCTTCCTGCTGTACTTTCCCCCTCAAGGCACAGCATTTACCTTCTTTCATGCTGGGCGTAAACAGTCCCAAAACAGAGATGGTGTGATACGGCAACAGCTCAGCGAGGAGTTCCCCTCTTAAGTATCCTTCCACAGCTGCGGCTGACGCCAGCTTCAAAGGGCAGGACACTCTGCTCCTAGAGGAACACAGCAGAAGCAGGCAGGGTGTTTCCTCCTCCTTCAGTAGGGATGACATGAGATTAAAGGAACAGATCCTGGGTTGTTTGTTAGAAGAACCAAAAGGCACCAACCAGGGTGGGAAACGAAGGCCAAACCCAGTGGCCTTCTGAGAAGGTATGCATATAAGTGGCGTACACTGTGAACAGACATATAGTTTAGTAACAGTTATTTTCTGATCGCCAAAAGAACGACAGATTGTTAAGACAACTTCCAAACCACTTTTATGATCTAGATGCTGAGCTTGGTATTAAACCCAAGGTTAGGTCTGAAGCTATTACTATATGTCACATACCACACACTCCCAAAAAAAGATGTCCGCCTTGTTCTAGGAAGGCAGAATGAAGGAAAAAAAAAAGCACCCTCCCCAAATCAGGCCCAAAAACTGACTGCAGAGGATCCTGAACCCATGGATGAATCCTGACCAGCCAAAGGCTACCGTTTTAACCCTCTCATGGCTGGTGCCAAATTGGCAGCAGCTTTTGGCTGCTCAACCAAAAGCTCCTGCCAATTCAGCAGCAGTTGCAAAAGCATTGAAACTAAATATGAGCTGAGGACTGCACTCTGCCCTTCCCCTGGGATTACAGCTCCCTATGCAGCCCTTACAGTGCCTGCATGTTTCCAGCTCAGAAACCAGCTCCCTGCTTAAGACATACACCCCAATTTTGGAGGGGTAATTTTTGGGAAACAGGTGCCCGAGGTGTGCCAGTAAATACAGTACTCTGAAGACAATCTACATTCTAAGGACAAAAATGTCATTCAGGGCACTTCCTAGCAGATGTGCTGATCTGAACCAGCAATGACGTGGCTCTTTTGGGCACTCACAGCATGATGAACCTGAGCAGATCTTCTGTCCCTAGCATGCCGCCGTAGGTCAGTGGTCTCTCGCCCTTCTCATAGATCTTTACAACAGGGAATTGGGTGACATTCTGCTTTGCACAGACACCAGGCCAGTCCCAGCAGTTCACCCTGGCAAGGGAAACTCCTGAGGTTCCTGAAGGAGAAAACACAAATGTTTACAATAACGTTACGAAGTTGAAAGCCAGAGAGAGGGAAACGATTCAAACCAAAGCTTTTCCAGCACTCCCATGGGTATTATTGTATACACTTGTACTGAACAACATCAGAAATCTCTCCTGCTGTGGATCAAATCAAATGGCAGGGCCAGATTTTGATACCACTCCATGCAAGTAAGATCACACTTACACCACAGACATACCATGCCAGCCTGCTCCCATCGCTGTCTCCTGCATTGGTCTTATTCCTTTTCATAATCGGTTTTATTTATTTCAACTCTTCTTATTTGGTCTGTAACTATTTCTGATAGCTTCTCCTGGCTGACTGCCGCCTTCCCCGTATTAAGTGACCACTTTCATTATCATAATGTGGTTTAACAAAAGCAATTGTTCCACCTGGTATTTAGCTTTAAGCTGGATCTGCTTCTTTCCCAGACCCCTAGGAAGGGCATTTGTGCCCAAGAGCTCTCCTAATTATACAGCTGGTCCAGTAATATATATTCCCTAATCAATCTCGCTTCCTGAACTGGAAGCAGTACAGCCCAGACTACAGTAGGCTAGATCTATTTGAGCTTGCAGGGCTGGAGGAAATTCATCCCAGAGCACTTACAGAGCTAGGATCTCGGAAGCCATTACAAATTATCTGCAAATTCCTGAAGGATGGTGGAGATCCCCCGAGGGGCTGGAAAAGAGTCCCTGTCTTCAAAAGAGGAAAAACAGGGCCTGGGGATTTTGGACTAGTCAGTCTAACTTGGATGCCTGGCAAGACACTAGAGCTAATATTAAATGAATGTATAAGCACCTGGAGGAGATGGGGACAGATCATAAATACATTGTGCCAAACCAATTCAAATTCTCTTCTTTGACAGGATAACTAACCTGGATGATAAGGGGAAGCAATAGATAATATATCTTGATTTCAGCAAGTCTTTGGACATGAACCCAGTTGAGTGTCAAACCAACTAGGAAAACAGTCTAGATGGAAGCACCATGAAGTGGGTGCCTGGCAGTTCGAAAACCCCACAGCAGTGGCTTATTATCAGTCAAACTAAGAGGGCACCTCAACTGGGCTCCTATAGGAGTCTGTTCTGGATCCAGTCCTACCCACCATTACAGACTTGGATGTTGGACTAAATAAGACTGTATTTTCTGGTATATCACCTGCACTTTTTCCCCCCTAAAGACCAGCTGATGGAAGGGGGGGGGGGGCAGGGCACATTGTATGTGAAAAAATACAGATCCCCATAGGTCTGGAAATTTGGGTCTCAGAGCCGCTGAAATTAACACTGCCACTGCTCCCTATCAGATCTCTGGACCCGCAGGCAGATGATATGGTCCCACACGCTGGTCCACAGCCAGACCTGGCATGTGAGTAGGATCCAGCATGTGGCTCCAGACTTAGCATGCTATATCAAGCCAGCACATGGGGTCAGTCCACAGGCTCCATCCAGCAGGCTCTGCTGCTACTTGGTTATTTATCCAAGGTAAGATCTTCTGTTCTTCATGCTTCCTTTCGGAAAAAGGGTGTGTATTATATTCTAGGGCATATTTCATAGATTTCATAGACATTCAGGCTGTAAGGAACCCCGGAAGATCATCGAGTCCAGCCCCCCCCCGCCCCAGGAGCAGGAAGTCAGCTGGGGTCATAGGGTCCCAGCAAGAAAAACATC